TGTACAGCCGTTACACTCGACGAAGCGCGGAGAGAACGTCTGTGAGTTGGATGCATAATCCTTGTTCAGATCACGTGGTTGGTTCCCAGACTTGGGGACAGGCCTCTGATTGGACAGTGTTTTATTTGAATAATTTATGACAAATGAAGCTTTTTCATTGGTTAATTGATAATTAGCATGCGTTTAAAATAACAACACAAAAATTTTAAATTCAAAGATTTCCAAATCAAGAATCAAGATTTCCTTCGGGGCATACAAAAGTTTGAAAGACTTGAAATATAATCAGTTGAGTTTAATTTTGTGCTGTATCGAAGTTCAAGAAAATCAAGATAAAATTCTAGTGTTTGGACACTCAGCGAACAATGCTGACAAATATATAAAATACAAACAAACTATCGGACGGAAATTGACAATTTATAATTGACAATTTAATAAATTGACAATCTGTTTATACGTCCCGACCCCTCGCGATAAAGCATTTTCTTTACATGTAATGTGTTTAACTTCGTCTTACTTGGCCAGTTAACTTTTAATTTATACTTTAAAATGCGCCTTTTGAATAACCAGTTGTGTTTATATTTAATACTTTGTCTTTGTAAACAAATATACGCCATATGTACGCCAAGAACTGAACTTGTACACCGGACTTGCCGGCAATGATCATCGTTCAGCGTTGTTTGCATATTCTGGTGTATTTTAGATTGTATTTCAAGTCTTTCAAAACTTTTGTATGCCCCGAAGGAAATCTTGATTCTTGACCTGGAAATCGCTGAATTTAAAATTTTTGTGTTGTTATTTTAAACGCATGCTAATTATCAATTAACCAATGAAATAGCTTCATTTGTCATAAATTATTCAAATAAAGCACCGTCCAATCAGAGGCCTGTCCCCAAATTTGGGAACTATCCACGTGACCTGAACAAGGATTATGCATCCAACTCACAGACGTTCTCTCGCGCGCTTCGTCGAGAGTAACGGCTGTACACAGGCTACCAGACCCCCTGTTTCTTCGATAACTTAGTATTACGACTGGTCGAATACGGTTGTCATTCCAATAAAAAAAATGGTCGTAAGATGTGTACGCTTAAAAATGTTTTTAAAGTGCTTCTGACTTCAGGCCATGTTACACGGTGCAATTTTTCTTGCAACTTGCAATGCAATTCTACTCTTGAGAGATGTGAATTAGTGAAATCAGTGAAGAATTTTCGATATGTTGAGAAAACATCAGCGGAGTGTAATGAAGACTCGTATTTGGCAATTTTACATCTCTCCGAAGAGTAGAATTGCATCGCAAGTTGCAAGAAAAATTGCACCGTGTAACATGGCCTTTCGCTATGGAGCGATTTATTGTGTATCTCAGTATGTATGCAACCACAACCTACTTCCCAGGGTCAGACTGGCGGGGAGAGAAAAGTTGCCCCGGGGCCCCGAAATTGAAAGAAGTCCCTAAAATATCTTAATAGAAGATTGCTTTAACCGAGAAATCCTAGCTCCGTCAATGCCTGACAATATGCAATAAAGTGTAATATATATTGTAAAACACCGCTACAATCTTGGAAAAAATATTTGTAGACTTTTCGAAAAATACACTCAAATTTGAAAACATATGATGAAAATGTGAGCATTTTTCAATTAAAGCAACTATTTACTTTAAATTACCATTCCCCGAAACAATGTTGGTTCAGGTAAAGTGGATTTGCAAAACATGTCACCTAAATACCAACATTGTATAAGGGGGGAGTGAGACAAAGTTTGAAAATTTAAGAAGTCTACTAATTTTTTTCCAGGATTGTCTCTGAATTAAGCCAAACCCTTAACCTTTAAGAGAAAGAAATTAAATTTTTTGGACATGTAAAAATTGTTATTCTATTATGTTGTTATGAAAGTCAAGTGGCACATATGTCAGTAGAAACAGACCCCCAAAACAATTTTCCAGGGGGGGGAGACTTCCCATGTTACGATTATAGGAAATAGGCGTATATTACCGCCCACAGCTTGGGTTATCCTTGCAATTTCGTTGAATTTGGACACGATTATAAATGTTTTTATACTTTTGAATGTATAGTAAATTTAATATTAGCTTCAACTTAGAATCCTCTATAGTATTTTCTCCGGAAAATAAGCGAATTTAATTTCATAAAATACACATAACTGCTTGATTTCTTGAGTTCTTTTGGATTAAATAAACTAAGAGATATTTCTGCTCGTTTATCGGTTGGTTGTGTCTTAAATTATGTTAGGATTAATTTATTTTTAAGGTTTTCAGTTCTCTATGCACATTTTCAACGATTATAGGTTAGAACAAATCTCAATCTTCACATGTTACATCATGTTACATCATGTTACACTACATGTTACACTAAAATTACTATACTTTACTATAGTTCTTGACATGTTACTACATGTTACACCTATATTTTTAAAAGGAACTATAGATATTTTTAAAGGTAGGTGTAACATGTTGTAACATGTGAGGATATATAATAAAATATAGAACGTTTAGTGTAACATGTACTGTAACATGTGGTGTAACATGGTGTAACATGTAGTGATTTTACTCAGACTGTACATTTATTAAATAATAATAAGATATTCGTTAAGTCAAGCACTAATTTTGAGACAATTACGGGTACATGCGTTATAAAAGCATATTGAAACCGTATTAAAACATACTTTATAGGTACAATTTCGCACTATAAAATTTTAATGATATACAAAATATGTGAAAAAATGTGACGGTCATGAAATATTGTACAATGTAATAATCTATATATGCCATATCTGTCCCTCTGATAGTTTTTTGTTATTAACTGCCTTATTTTTTGTCAATGCAGCCTTATTGGATAAATTAATCACAATTTTCCTTAAAATATGGGCGCCTACATTAAGCCGCCCCCCCCCCGTCTACCGACCCCCCTGGCATTCAAAAAGTTTAATCAAACTCTGAATTATGTTCCTAATATAGAGTCCTTTTTAATTTGAAAATTATGTTTTGAAAATTATGTTTTGAAAACGACTGAACAATTAACTTGGTAAAATGATTATTATCTGTTGTATTTTTTCAGACAATCTTGGAAAAAATATTTGTAGACTTTTCGAAAAATACACCCAAATTTGAAAACATATGATGAAAATGTGAGCATTTTTCAATTAAAGCAACTATTTACTTTAAATTACCATTCTCCCCCCCCCCACGAAACAATGTTGGTTCAGGTAAAGTGGATTTGCAAAACATGTCACCTAAATACCAACATTGTATAAGGGGGGAGTGGGACAAAGTTTGAAAATTTAAGAAGTCTACTAATTTTTTTCCAGGATTGTAGTCTCCCGTTTTACAATTATGAGGGCCCCGGGAAAACTCTCGACGGCAATGCTGTTAACCAACCTAAGTAAATCTCATGTCCTAGGCACTGTAGGCCTACAATGGCAGACCTAATTCAGAGATAAGAGACAGCTAGCGCGCTAACCACATTTGTAGCCACCCGTGTTTTCCGATCAATTTCGCATGAGAAAATATACCGCATGCAGGTATCATGACAACAACAGCAGAAAGACGTTTGTTGGGCTAGTGTGAAGAAGCTTGCTGGCAAGGCAGGCGAAATGACAACTTGCTCCACTAAAACTAATACTCATACAGCAGGTTCTCACCACTTCACTTGCAATATATGTTTGGAAGTGCTGCAAGACCCCGTTCAATGTGTCAGGAACGAACACTACTTTTGCAAGAAGTGTATAAACAAACATTTAACGCGATCCCAAACCTGTCCTGTTTGCCAAGACGAACTTACTCCTGAAACACTTCGTCCTATCTCGAGAACCGTGGCGAATATACTCGAGCAGTTTCAATCACTGAAATGCATGTACGCCAGTCGTGGATGTTCGAGCGCAGTAAAATATGAAACGTTGTTGTCTCATCACGAAGAGTGCGGTTTTGCTCCTGTCCCGTGTTTGCACGATGGATGTGAAGAGACTGTCAACAGGAAAGATCTCGTCAGCCATCAGCAAGCCTGTGAATTTCGATCGGTAACTTGTGAAGATTGTCACAAAGCGATGAAGCAAAGAAAATATGGAAAACACAATTGTGTCTTACGAAGGGAATTAGATAAGAATAAACGAGATTTGGCTGAAGTTAAGAAGATTTTGCGAGAAATTCAAAGAGAACAACGTCGACAAGGCGAAGAAAACCAACGAATGGCAAAAGAATTAAGACAGCCCCATGCAACACAAAGACGACAAAGCCATAACTCGAAGAATCAAACCGGGGCAACGGAAAAACAACAACGCGATGACTCAGCAGAACAAGCAAGTGAATTAAAATCGGACGCAAAGCAAACAGAACACGATACTTCGACTACACAGATAACAAGTCAAATAAGACAACCGAAAGCAGCACAGATTATTGTAGCTGGAGGATGCAACAAATCATATGAAGTCTTCGACTGGTCCACTCAGAAATGGACTTTGTATGGGGACACTTTGTTTTTCAATCATACTGACGCAGCTCCATTCGTTTATGACAACAAGATGTTGATTTGTGGTGGAACAGACACGAACAGGGTTGGATGTCTGGATATTGCCAAGGATAGATTTGCCAGTACCTTACCCACACAATTACCTGGTACAGAATGTGGCAAAGGGGTTCTCTGTGATGATAAAATACTGACTTTCGGTGAATCGGTATCGGCTGCATCCCTTAAACCACCATTTAAAACCACAGTTATTGTTCCTTATAGTGACAACAAAAAGATGTCCGCCTACGGAGTTGCTCGTATCAATGAAAACGCTGTGGTCCTTGTTGGTGGTACCACAGGTGAAAGTCCAGTTACGACGTGTGATGTCTTACTTTATAATCCAACGAAGAATGATTTCAAAAAGCTAGCACCCTTGCCCTACAACGTTGCAGACATGGCCGTTGTTGTGTACAAAAACAACTTTGTTATTTTCGGAGGGAGGAGAAGTTATTATGTAGATACACGTGCATGTCGACTCTTAAAGAGTGAAAGTCTAAATGGCGTTTTGATGTACAATATCACAAATCAACAGTGCCGCAAGTTGCCGAACATGTTGGAAAAAAGGTGAAGTTCGTGATTTGATATATCATTAAAAAATGTTTACGCTTTACTAACGATGACACATAGAACTGAAGAATCACTATTCTATTACTTCATATGATCATTTTCTTAAAAAAAATATGTTAGTGTTTGTGTTTTAAAATGGTTTTTAATCTTTAAAACGTCTGGTTATTATCATTCAGTTAAACCCCCTATCACTGGAATATTGCCTTTTATTTCGTTTAAATTACAAATTTCAGTCCTACATTAAGACTTTTAAGATAATATCCATTTGCCATCCTAGGTGGTTCTGTTTAATTCATTTACTAAATTTTCGACTATTTCTGTATTAATTTTCCACCATTTTTGTATTTTTTAGATCAAGATGTGCTGCAGCAATTATGGGTGATACGATTGTTGTTATGGGAGGAATTTGTCTGAGCGCACTGTCATTTGAGAGCAATGTGAATCTCAAGACAGCAGAATATCTGGTGTTCGGTGAAAACAGTTGGAAGAAACTTCCAGCAATGCATCATGAAAGAGTTGGCGCAAGCGCGTGTGTTCAGCCGTAGAGTTATGTACTGTAATATGAATAAATATGGACAGCCTCGAAACCAAACAATCCAAAATGTAATTGTAAGCATTAAAGCACCTAAAATATACAACAACCATTCGGGTTTAGAAATAGAATGCTCTCTTGAAGATGGTTTACACTTAGTCTATCACTATGACTCTATGACACACTCGAACCAAGTCACTATCAATCAAGGCTGATTGGAACAATGGAAGCAAGTTCTATCCAATACGAGCTTGTCATGTACTGCATTCATAGACTTTACAGCCGATATTCAAATATCTTTTCCCGTTAAGTTATTTCTAATCAGTAGTTAAAAGCATAGCAAGAAATATTATTTTTGTTTGATTCTAAGTTTTGGGTCAACGTTTCCTACCAAGTTCACTAATATTCTTCCAAATAAATTATCTTAAAACTGTGCCTGTTAACGCTATAGAATGCTCTAAAAGTTTCAGCCAGCTAGGCCAGGTCTGAACCACTATTATTAATTTTCCTGCTATGGTTAAAAAAGTACTGTACCTCGAGTTGGTCAACAACATGGATAAAGTGGTCAATGAACAATTGATTCGAGTGACACATGTTCACCAACAATGATACCAGTGGACTAATATAAAACAAAAAGAATCATGGAATTATATCACCATTATATAGCATTAGAGACCTTCATATTGATATTTTACGGCAGACCACAAACCTGTCAAACGGCAGATTTCAAAGAGGTCAACCGTTGGCTGTTCAAAATTAGGACAATTTGTGCATTAAAATTGAAGTAGGAAATAAGCTGCTTTAGCTGTCGAAAACTTAATTGCGGAATTTACATCAACGAGATTTTGTCGTTTGCGGCTTTACCAAATTATGTCATTCTATAGTTCTGAAGATCTTATTTTGACTAGTCTAAATTCCATTCTATTCTGTACAATTATATTTCATTTTATTCTGTATTTAACCCTACTGATTCCTTCTTTTTATTCTTTTCAACTGTATTTCATTCTATTCAGTTTAATTAGTCCATTATCTTTTAGTCTCTTTCATTCCATTCTACTTCACTTTATACTATTCCATTCCATTTTATTTCATTCTATTCTACTTCATTTTATACTATTCCATTCTATTTCACTATATTCCACTTCATTCCATTATATTCCATCTCATTATATTCAACTTCATTCCATTCATACTCATGTCATTTTATTCCATTCTATTTCGATCTATTCCATTCCGTTCTATTTCATTGTTTTCTATTTCATTCTATTCCATTCCATTCTATTCTATTCTATTGCATTGTTTTCCATTTCATTCTATACCATTCCATGTTATTCTATTTCATTGTTTTCTATTTCATTTAATTTTATTTCATTCCATTCTATTTCATTCTATCCCACTCTATTTCACTCTATTCTATTTCAATGTTTTCTATTTCATTCTATTCCATTTCATTCTATTCCATTTCATTCTATTCTATTCTATTTCATTGTTTTCCATTTCATTCTATACCATTCCATTTTATTCTATTCTATTTCATTGTTTTCTATTTCATTGTATTATATTTCATTCCATTCTATTTCATTCTATCCCACTCTATTTCATTCTACTCTATTTCATTGTTTTCTATTTCATTCCATTCTATTCTATTTCATTCCAATCTATTCTATTCTATTTCATTGTTTTCCATTTCATTCTACACCATTCCATTCTATTCTATTTCATTCCATCTATTCTACTTCATTGTTTTCCATTTCATTCTATACCATTCCATTTTATTCTATAATTCTACTCTATTCTATTCTATTCTATTCTATTTAATGAAATAGAATAAAGTAGAACAGAATAAAATGGTATAGAATGAAATGGAAAACAATTCATTCTATACCATTTCATTCTATACCATTCCATTCTATTTCATTCCATTCCATTCTATTCTATTTCATTGTTTTCCATTCCATTTTATTCTATTTCATTGTTTTGTATTTCATTCTAATTCATTTTATAAATACCATTGTATTCTATTCTATTTCATCTTATTTCATTCTATACCATTTTATTCTATTCTATTTCATTCTATTCTATTTCATTTTAGTCTATCCTATTTCAATCCTATAATTCTATTCTTTTCTACTCACACAAAAACATGATATTCCATTTTATTTTTTCTATATTCTATTTAATTGCAATTTTTGTTGTCTTTGCAGTTTCATTCTATGTCTAAGTAGTCAAGTGAAATAAAACATGGAATGAGAAGGAATAGAAATGAATTACCAGGCATTACTTTTCTGGATAAATATAGTAATAGCCAGAATTGAATAGATATCCTTTATTAACTTTAACCTTTTTAACCTTGATATCATCCACTAGAATCAAATATTAGGGAGTGCAATTTTTGATACATTGCATAATAATTTATTCAGATAAATCAATACATATAACATTTATCTACCCAATATCATTTTAATCAGTAATCAAGCAGAGACTATCTGAGAGGCTGAGAGCTGGGTCAGCAAAATTTGTTGTTACTTCATTTATAATCCTTCTGGCTTTCTGAATCAGACTAAAAAATGGATGACAATTTAAAGCTTAAAGCAGTAAAAATTACTGACTACATCAAAATAACATAATTATCTACCTTTTATAATACATGATGATGACATAAAGTGATTCAATCAAACTTGAATAATCAATCTGTGTAAACAACAACTGTTGCTGAGATTCAAATGTTATCAAATGACATCCAAGATCATCTTTTGCACCTAAGTAAAATAAACAAACCCGATAGTATGCTAAATTCTCTCCTTGATGAGTAAATTCATCTGGCATTAGACAGAGTAAAATACTATAGTCAGGCACATTAATAGGCACATTGCAACTATTAATGGCTTAATGATCGAATAATACTCAAAATATATTAAATAAATACATGTAAATAAATACATTATGTTCTGGTTTATTGCAATAATAAATATATGTATAGTGTTTTCCATATAAACCAAAACATATATTAATATGTGTTTTAATGATGTTGTCTCTGAGTGTGTTCACACCGGGCAAGTTGAAAAGTATGCTTGACCACAGTGGGAATTGAACCCGCACCCTTTGGTTCGCTAGGCTGATGCTTTACCAACTGAGCTACAAGGTCACAGAATACTACACAGAAGTCCATCTCCATTGTTTTTAGCGTAAGCTCTATTCGTCATGATTTGTCACTCAGCAAGTACTGTAAACAGAAGCAGTCACCCCCTGGACGTGCGCAATTTTTAGTATTTCCAGGGGGGGGGGCTGCTTCTGTTTACTGTACTTGCTGAGTGATGAATCATGACGAATAGAGCTTACGCTAAAAACAATGGAGATGGACTTCTGTGTAGTATTCTGTGACGAGGTCAAGACGGTTTGAGTAGGTGATATAATTTCAAGCTATTGCGGTACTGTTATATTCTAATTTTTGCCTGGTAAAGTTAACAAATCTAAATGTCCCCGCTATAGAGCTAAGCATTAAGAGCCTTTAATGATGCATTGTCGATAGCTAAATCACCAAATATTTCAAAACCATCACCAACAAAATACCTGTCAGAGTTACTATTCCACTTTTTAACAAAACAGTATCCAAAATATCTTGACACTGAAGGTGAATTTCCTATAAACAAAAATACAAATTAATTTACTAAATCTGAACAGATTTAACCCTACTATCACACATTTATGTAGTTATAACTAAAATACACCATAATAGTGCAATATGACAATTTCTGCAATATACACATACCATATCTCAATGATTTGTTTATGCCAGATTGCCAGGCTATCCAAATTGTGGACGTCCCATGTCTCTATGCAAATATAGAACTCTCGTACAGCAAATTTCAGTTTCCTCGGTGAATGAAGCCAATCCAATTGTTTCATATTTTAATAGATACATTTCAAAACACTGTGACGCGTTCTAAATAGAATTAGAACTAATTGGAACAAGATATAAACATTAAATGTAGCAATTATAACATTCGCAAGATAAAACGCATGATCTTTTTAATAGGCTATACAGCAGTCATGTTATCAACTACAGTATTAAACTGATAAAACTAGCACTTACTATACGTAATCTCGAACTACTAAAGCCCTTTATCTGGATAATTTCGCGCCATTTAACCGTTAAAAATATTTGCAAATAGATCAGCAATATTTAACAAAACATATTTACCACTCCTCACAGACAGCTGCGTGCCATTTTGCTTTCGTTGCCAAGGACTCGTGTGCCCGCATTTCTCCCTGCCATTTTGCATCTACTTCGTGTAGACCACATCAAAGTCTATAGCTTCCTCAGGTATAAACATTTTACTGTTCATGTTAGAGAAATAAAATTAAACTATAGATTTTACTGTTGACATTTCGTAATATGTTATAGAGGCAGACGTTTTATTGCTAAATGTTATTGAAGTAACCCCCCCCCCCGCATCCCTACTATTTGATGTGCACTCGAATTTCTCTTGCAGTAGCACTGGATCAAAATAATGTAATCAAGGTCTTTCTTTATTTAAAATTGAACCTCTACAGAGCTTGTTCTAGGGAGATCAGTTTAGAAGTGATAGACTAGAGCTATTTAATCACTGTTACTTTATCCATACAAAAAATTTGTATGGATAAAGTAACAGTGAAAGCAAGGAATAAATCTCCTGGGGAGAGCAGTCTTGAACACTTAGAACAATCCAGCATGCTATAAGAGAAACGTCGAATTTCCTTGTATTTTTCAGATAGTTGCATCTCTGTCAACCGAAGTTTTGTTATTTTTGCCACTACCTAAACTGGCACAAACCCAGTGTTCAGCAAAGTACTCAAAATTTTTACTTAAAGGGGAAGTCAAGTCCGTTCTGCGCATCGCTTCTGCGCATAACAATGTGAGGACCTCTAATATGAAAATTGCCCAAATTTCGAATGTTTCGAATTTTTCTGAACATAAACTTTATTTCATAATCATTTAGAAACATAGCGAACCAAAATAGTGTTAGATATTCAGACAGTACATCATATTTTAAAAAATACAGAAGTTCAAAATGTAAACAAACCGTTTGTTTACATTACGGACTTGACTTCCCCTTTAATATTTACCATTAATGATATTTTCCTGTGCACAGGAAAAAACAGAGTAGTTTTTACATTAAAAAAAAACATTAATGGAAAGTTGAATTTTTTCCCCATGATAGTCTCCTCTGCAGGCATCTCTATGGGGGATGCCTGTGGGTGAGGCTAATAAGACAAGCTATAAAGTTGTTGCTGGCATGTATAAGCAGTATGCTATTCCGAGCAACATGGGTATGAATCAGTTTGAATTTCTATATCACTTGGTCGATTGGCAAATAGCAGTTGAGAGCTCGCTCATTTAAAACTTGCTATACATTTTTTAATACCATAGTGTGGTGGGGCATGTTCCCCACTTAGGATCAGTCCCCATTCCACCCATGTCATTGGACAATGTGCAGTTGTAATGTACAGTTAGTAGTTCTTAGTCTGCATAACAAGCACTGAGCGGTAAACCAAATTTTAGCTCCTGCAGCTAAACAATGTGATACAT